TTTCGTGCACCGGGCCTCTAGTATATAATAAGCATTTAACCAATTTGTTGAATAAAATAATTGGATATGGAATGAGAGAAAACAATCACCAAGTATGGTTTGCAATTAAGCAACTGGCAGAACACTAGTGATTGTAAATGACAGGCCCAGATCTTCGCAGAAAAAAATTTGTCTATATTAAGGTGAAAGTAGGGGCAGAAGAGTGTCAAGCAGTAATATATAAGGCAAATGGATAAGCAATCCTACATGAAATCAGTAAATTACAATATTCTCAATATCCCTTGCCCTTCTCTTTTGCCCTCAGAAGTAATAATCTTAACACCTTATCCCATTCCAGTGTGATATCAAACAGCACATAATAGTGGCCAGAACAAACGCATCCCTTGAAAACATAACAGGAACCAGCACTATCGCCTCCTTCAGGCTGCACTATTAATAGAACTCAACATTCAGCTCTGAATTAGATACAAAGGTGGGCCCATGTCAAATGCTACAGCCCCCATGAACACTTTGCTGATTTCCCCCTTAAATTAATTTTTCAGACCCTTTCTCCATTTTGTTTACTAAAGCATTCATTCATACATCTACATCTTGATAATCTTGAGATTTGACATTTTTTCGATTGTTCATTTTTATGTGAAATTATTTTTCTCAACTTTGAGAATGCAGGATTCAGAAAAGCTTCTGACTTCAATGTTCAGAAATATGGTGGCTTGCTTTCTAAGACTTTCCTGGCTCAAGTTTAATTCCCCTGAAGTTTAATCTAGTCCTCTTTGTCTATTGTCTCTCTCCTGCTTACTTTTATCCCATTTTTAGTACTTTCTTCTCAGTATGAGTCTGGTCCCTAAATGGCAGTTTGGTCTTGGCAAGTCTGTTTTGAGATTTCACTGGGTTACACTACTCCAATCTCTCCATTCTTTACTGTGGGTACCTTGCACTATTAGAGAGGGGAAAAAACTCATTTCAGCTGGCTGATGTGGGATTCCCCATTTCTCATCTATCAGACGCTATCCCAATTCCTCTACAGGCATAGAAATCAATACCAGGCAGGCTGGTGATTTCCCCCCATTTGCTATTTGGGGGTTCATGAGAAAAGCTTCTCACCTAGTTTAATTGCAAATGCCATCCATAGTTATCCAGTTTGGGTAAATAGGTGTGTTTTTTCAGAACTAATATATGTTCTGAATCCCCAAGACCAAGAATTAATTAACCTATGCACTCATTACCAGGTGTACCTTTTCAGTGAATTAAGGGAGAGGCCGAGGGTTGGATAGGACCAAGACTAGAAAGATGTGTATACAGTCTTGCAAACTGCCCAGAACTCCATTAGCCTTGTGACCTACACCTAACTTTAGATAAATTCAAATTACTGTAATTATCCTAATAAAGAGGGAATATGCTAATTGACCACCACACCCTCACAAAATGACAGCACCCACAGCCAATAGAGGGAATATGCTAATTGACTGTCACGCCCTCACAAAGATGGCAGCACCCACAGCCACACGATGGCGGTGCCCAGTTCCCTCAGCCCCGCCTCATCCAGCCTCAGTCCCCCAGTCTACTCAGCCCCACCTCACCCAGTCCCCACAGTATCCAGCCTCATCCAGCCAGAGTCCCCTAGTCCCCTCAGCCCCACAGGGGAAGGCAGTTAGGCGTCAATCAGGCCAGCAGGGGAGTGGTTAGGGGGCTATCAGGCTGGCAGGCAGAGTGGTTAGGGGCAAACAGGCAGGCGAGTGGTTAGGAGCCAGCAGTCCTGGATTGTGAGAGGGATCTCAGATTGGAGAGGGTGCAGGCTGGACTGAGGGACACCCCCTCCCATGCACGAATTTCGTGCACTGGGCCTCTAGTCTTAAATAATGGGGCAGAATACAACATACTACCAAAGTATGCAATAGCCTCTCCAACCTGAACCATAAGTCCCATGAAAGGGTGATCTCCGTATTGGGATGTACATGCCCATAAAATTAAGTTTTATAACTTCAAAAAGAAAAATACTTAGGGCCTTTTTCCTTGTTGTGTCTATGCTTGAAACCTCTCAGAGTAGTAGTGACACAGTAAATATAAACAGACCAGTACTATTTAAGATTACACACCTCTTAAAGGGTCATTAAAACTTTATATTCAAAAATTTTAGAAACTAAGACCAAGATTTTCCTTGATATTAAAATGTTTCAAATTAAAATCACCTGAAAATTTCCTTTTTTTAATTGACAATAAATATGATCAAGTAATGAAAAACTGAGCAGAGGCCTATTACTTATATCTAAACTGCTATTAACTTATAATGATGTAATATGAAAATTACAAAATCTAAGTTAAATGTTTATAATATAAAGATTTTATTTGAAACTTTTAATTTATATAAAAGCAAGCCTAGATTATGCTTAGTGTTTGAATCCAAAGGTCTTATGTGTTTTAACTACTATTTTTCAACAAAAAATACTATAGCTAGACTTCTTGAAAAGCAAAAAAGGTTAACTGATGTTTGATTTTTCTGATTCCATCTTTTTAGATTTGTGACTTGATAAGATTCTGTGATCTGTTTTCTGATACATTCATATGCTCACAAGTAGGAATGCTTTGACTCTTATCACTTAAATAAAACCTAGAACACAGGAAAAATAGTTAAAAGGATGTCCTGCCAATCTTCTGGATCATCCAAAGAGTACATCAGTACTCCCAATGTTTCCATTTAATCCTTTTCATTTTTAGCAATAACTTTTAACAAGAAAAAATTCGACATAAAAATGCCAAATAACATATTTTGATTGCCTTACAGCTAACAGCAAATTGTCATCTAAGAATTGGCATATAAGGATGGAACCTTCGATCTGTATACCAGCTGGGGCAGGGATGAGTATCTTTTATCACAGTATCATGGAGGATGAAAGGGAGGAAGCACTTTAATTTTGGAAGTTGAATATCATCATCAAATATATGCATAAAAAATAATTGTATACTGACATTACAGATAAATTATTTTAACTATATTTACAGACTAAGATAGTTAAACAGATAAATTATTTTATTATAACTATCTTTAGAGACTAAGACCAAGAATAGCATACATTTGTGATGCTATTCAACTTCTTTCAAAAAAGTTCAAAGTGTATTTAACATTCCCCTCATGGCAGTCCTAGAAGTACCCTGGAAGCTTAATAATGTTTAGTTTTCCTTTTCTAGTACAAATAAGACATAAAAATTATGGCCTTTCATAGTCTAGGACTAGATAATAGCAAGTAAACGACTATCCTGGTAGATGAGAATATTCTTTACTTTTCTGTGGCCCTTTACAGTCTATGAAATTTGCAACCACTATGATAGCACCAAGTTACTGCCAAATAGTTCATGCTGTGGATGTAAATCCTTTCAATTCAGCTAACTGTCCAGTGTATTTACTATTGTCTGCTTTTATTAAAGGGAGGGCTCATTATTATTGAATCAGGAAGTTGGGCAAAGCCAAGATTAAGAAAAATTTGATTCCAATTCTTATGGGAATAGCATTAAAACCCACTTGCCCAATCCTTTTCTACTTACAATAATCAAAATTATCTCCTGCATTTTAAGAGTGCTACAAATCAGTTCACTGTTGTAAAACACCTAAAATATCTGCAGGAAAAATGCTGTTCTCATGTACAGATCATTATAATTGAGACATTTGAGGGTTTTTTTCCTAGTAGTGGTGGTGAAATGCCATCCTAATGCCCATTTTCTTTAAACACTGGGATCCATTTTTACAGGCTAAAGAATAATGAGGTAACAATATAGAGAATAAAATTAAATATACAACTTCGGCTTCATTCTCATAACTGATGCACACTAATCATCAGTAATCATTACTAATCATTTCTGAAAAACCAGGAGTCCAGCTCATAAATCAAGTCTCCAAGGCTCCAGTCAGACGATGGAACACAACTAATTTCAACATATTTCTGGATTCCAAGAAACTGAGTAATAACAAACCTTGTTCACTTAAAACTTCATTAATGTTGACTCCTAATTTTTAATCTCTACTCCAATAAATTTAGACTCTTGACATTCAGATTTAAAAATAAAAGTTTCAACTATTTGAGAAAACTAAATATATAGAACAGATAATACTCTAAAATTTTGTTAAGGGATATATCAGTGTCTACTACTCAAGAGACTATACAATCCCATGACAATGAAGTTTATTTCTTCATTTGCCTTCCCTATCTAGTGTCTTCATGAATTAAGTCTGTACTTCTCTTTATGAATATAAAAGGAATATGTTTTGTATGGAAACAAAAAGTATATCAAAATCTAATTGAAGCCCAAAAAGAAAAAAGCAATTATGTAAATTTTTTTTAAAAAGTTAAATAATATGTCCCTAATAAGACAGCGTACTTTTATATAGAGAACTGGTATTTAAAACTACCTAGTGATATTAAACATACTTACAAGTTACTTCCCTAACAAAGTTTGAAAAGAATAATCTGCCATTTGTATTAGACAAAATCTATTTGTTTCAGCATACACATTTCTGTGAAAATGCGTTTAAAGTTGACAGAATGGCCCATTTTTAAAATTTCAAATAAATTGTAAAAGGGGCACTGTAAGAATTATATCAGATCTTACTCAAAGACTAACTTAAAAAAAAAAAAACTTTTTAGTTATTAACTGACCACTATGTTTTTAGAAAGAAAAGTAATGCTGATTCTCCATCATAATATTATGGCTGATGAATTCCTTTATTATTACAGGAACAGAAGGGCTAAACTGGAAATCTGAATTCCTGCATTCTCTAATAATGACCTGGAAAATTTCCCATTTTTCCAAGGGAAACAAGAAAAAACAGTATATAGGGGTTTGAGGAGTTTTATGAAGTACGTATCAACCCCCTCAAAAAAGCCACACCACACCAATAATTTTCCTAAGAGATTAATTGGTATTCTAAAATCTAGAAATTGGCCATAGAAATCAATTGCATAAAACAGACACAGATATAATCTCAAAATCAGGTAAACAAACAGCTATTACCACTTATGACATTTTTATTGGCATATGACAATTTACAAGAGTCCCTGTTGCATTACTAGTATACATCACACTGAGTAAGAATCGTTGAGCCATCTACATTCATTCTTATTGGGTAATATTTTCATCTCAAACTATAATTCCCAACACTTGATTTTAACAGTGACAAAAGGGAACAATAGTAATTCCTTAGAGTAGGCTGTAATTGGAAAAACATATTTTGCTTTTTGTATTAAAATTCTAAGATGTTGAAAGGTATACACATCTAAAGACTGAGTCATGGCCTTCTTAAACAGCTATCTGTTCTGGAAATACCCTTTGGTTGAGTTTTATTTTCTTTCTCTGGGCAAAAGGAAATCTGTTAATGCAGATATCAAGTCATTATTTTTCTGGCACTTGCAAACATATATCCTTACCAAGAGAAACCATTTAACTTTTATAACATCAGGAAGTGTGGAATTAAATTGTGGTTTTAAAATACACACAGCCCTGGCCGATGTGGCTCTGTTGGTTGGAGTGTTGTCCGTACACAAGGTGGCAAGTTCAATTCCCTATCAGGGCACATACCCATCAGGTTCAATTCCCTGGTCAGGGCACATGCAGAAGGCAACTAACTGATCAATGTTTCTCTCCTCCCCCACCCCACTCCCAACCCTTTCCTCTCTAAATCAATTTAAAATAAAAATACACAGACTACTTTTTATATGCTTGACTTTTTCTGAAAAAGAAAACATCCACAATCATCCTTCCTACTGGTAGCATGCTCTCTCCTCAATTTTAAAAGAATAAAGTAATGGAATCCTAAACATATCTGGGTTAAAGCAATGCACCTGCACTGCTTAAAATATAATTTGATAGGACTTAGTAGCTTTATTCCCAACTCCCTAAAATAATTTCTCAGCAAATTCCCTTTTTCCTGTTGTCTTAAGTGCAAAAGAAAAACTGCACATTTAAAATCATGCATAGAGATTTAGTATTCAACAAAATAACTGTTAAAATAAAAGCTAAATTTATTTGTATAAAATAAAATGGTTGTGAAAATTCTCCTGTGTTGGAGATCAAATCCATGTTGCTTTAGCAACTAATTATTCTAACTGGAAGGGTATTAGTTTTGTTCTGATCAATCCAACACACATACTTGCTTTGACAGTATTCCTCTGCTGTAACAATTTCAGAAAGACAAAATTATCAGGAGAAATCACGCAATACTAAAGATCTTAGGGCCATAAAAATCACATATTGAGGTTCGGTCCCTCTCTCCCACAACCCACCCAATAGCTCTTAGCAAATTCAAATTACCCTGGCTGCAATCAAGGTGCTAGGAGGATTGCAAATCATCAAATGAGAATGAAAGGGCCATACACTTAAGATCTTTAAAAGATTACACTAGCAGAATAAGCATCATCTCCTTTTAATGCAAACATATATAACTAATTCAACTGCTGAATTAATGAAATTTGACTACTTTTATATATGCTCATAAAGCAGACATACTTAACATTGAAATTTACTATTTCGGATTTTCATTCCTTTAAGAGCAATCAGCATAAGCATAAAGGTAATTCACATTTTCAAGATTATCTACCTAAAAAATAGAACCCTAGGAAAGAAAAAGAAAAGGCCATTTTACAAACTGAAATAGGGGGGAAAAAAGTAAAAACAAGTTAGATCAATGCTGCAACGAAACTTCCTGTCAAAACTTTTATTGTTGACATTTGAAAAACAAGTTACTTAAAATACAACTAATGAACAGTACGTTGTTTGCCAATTTTTTGTGGTTAGACTACAAACTAATATTTCAACTGTCCAAAAGATCAAATAAATATGTAAGATATCAAATCAGACACATCTTTATTTTGCAGGATAATCCTCTTCCATACCACATCACGATTACAGGTTTTGTTGTGTTAAAAATAAAATGTTCGGTAGGAATGGGGTTTTTATTTGCTGTTTATTACAAACCAGTTTCCTATCTCATAGAATAGCTGCTATCTAAGACCATGACTCATACTTTCAAATAAAAATAGAATACTGAATTTTGAATCCAAATAGTAAAGGCTCCTAAGTGTGGTTTTTATAGGCCACTGCTTGCTCTCAGTAAAAAAAAAAACAAAACAAAACAAACACAACAAAAAAAAACAAACAACAAAAAAAAACTAATACTTTGTAATCTAACTTTTATGAGTTTGTATTTCTTAGTTCTTGGCAAAGCTGTTTTTCTTCTTAAACATTTGCTGAAGTGTTAAACTAGCTTACGTTTACCAAAGTAACAACTTTTTCTGGGGTACACTTCAAAAATTAGTCACCCTACAATGTAGTGTGTTTGAATTAAGGAAAATGTTAAAACAGATGTATAGTTAAAATAACTAGGTGTGATCTCTATAAACAACTTCTTTTCAGAAATCTGTATGTAGAGCTAACGTTTACTTCAGCATAAACATTAACGAACAGGGAGGGAAGAGAATCAGATCTTTCACAGAGCTGTACTTGACCATATCTTATAGACAAAGCAGAATTACAATGCATGTAACAAAAACAGTAAAAGTATTATTTTTAAAAGTTGATAGTTACAAATAGGGTACATTAACAATTTTCTACTTTATTTCAGTACAATTTTCAACATACAATCTACTATTTTTCAAGATATTTGAAGACTTAAAACAAAACTTCTATAGACTACTTGCAAACAGTAAAATTTAAGTAAAATGCTTACATTCTTATTTGAAAACAAAAATCAGGTAAAAAAAAAGTGGGTGCAAGTTCTGCTCTCTGTTGCAATCTCATGTCAGGTTTATTATTCCTAAAAAGAGAGAGAAAATAAAGATTAGCAAAGATGTACAGTATGAAAATGATCTATAAAAGTCATTGTTCCTAACAATTAACTGCCCCACCAAACCCAAGAAAATCTGTTAGAGTCACTAACAACTTGAAATTGTCTACCTTTTCTTCTTTACGCCTGTCCTTCTTTTCTTCATTATTTTCCATGGTCTCTTCTTCATCTTCAACAATCCCGTCCCCTTGGTATTTGTCATGAGTCCATTTTGGACTGCTACCTGACTTTTTGAAGTTAAAGCGCCCTCTGCCACGTTGAAAAGTACCACGACCTCTTCCTCTTTTGGCCCAATAATCCACACCATCATCTCTGTCATCATGCTACAGAAAGGTTAAAAACAATCATCACTGAAATGTCTTTCTTGTAAGGAAAATGATTATATCCCTAAATCATAAGTCATGGTATAAATTTCCTGATTTGGTTTATGAGGTTGGTAATGTTTTAAAACAATAAAACAAAACCAGTAAAATAACTTTTCAACAAAAACTTTTGTCAAAGCAAATAATTACATTATACTGCTTAGTAACCCAAGCACTAAGAGCTGCCCAGACAATTTTTTGGAAAATCTCAACGGCTAAATTACTGCCAAATTTCAGATTTTTAATTTTTTCCTTTCCAGTATTTCAATCTAAGTCCACTTGTTACTATTTATATTGCATGTAAATGAGACCAACATTTTTCCAAAAAAACTTTAGTCATAAAGATGTGAAAAAGTTATAAAAATATCATTACAGTAACATCAACATTAAATAGGTGGTATGAATTATACCTTACATATAGAAACAGATTTTAAATCTGAGATTTAAATCTAAATCTATGTATATTACACATCAATCTTCAGGGGTAGGTCATCTCAAATCATGATGATTTCTCCCTAGAGAGTATTTCTCCCTAGAGAAATACCTCAACTTATTCTTCACCAATCTGAAGTACCGTAGCTATTACATTCCAATCATAATTTTTCACTAACTGCATCCAAATAGAGAGTTTCACAAATTAATAATTATTCCATTAATCAAAACAATCTGCAAAACTAAAAAGTACCTGACTTTGTGGACAAGTCAATGAGTATTACATTCCAAAGTTCTCCTGTAATGTAATTTAATTAACTGCTACCCCCCTTCACAATTGAGAAATAAGGCAAAATGATGCCCCTGTAGGAGACAACAGGCATAAATGCAATGTTGCATAACCTATGGATTACTGATATTGATCAACTGCCCAAGTCACTAAAATGTTTCTTCAAATTATATGATATGAGCACATTTTTCAAAACAGAATATGCCTTTGTGCCTATTCATGTAATACAGATCACCCTCCTGCATGACTTAAAAAGCTCAATTACACATGTAATTAACAGACTACATAAAGGAACATTTACAATTCCTAATAATCTATCTTTACCAAACCAATGAAACGTTACTAGCTAGAGGTGTGTAAGACTCCATAAAAAACAAATTTAGCAACTATCAAAAGTATAAATTTCAATGCCATAGTTTAATTTGAAACTGGAAATAAACTATTTTAAAATAGGCTGCCATTCAAAATAATGCTCATGCAATTAGATAATTTCAAGGTTTCCTTTGATATTAGCACACCCAACTCCAAAGTAGTTGTTTTTTATTGTTTGTGTATTTACATAGTATTTCATAAATTTGTGGGAAAAGCAAACAGGTTTTGCCGTCAGAGGCATGGGTTTATATCTTAACAGAAACTTTGTGACTTTATTTCATTTTAAGAGAGAGAGAGAGAACCTTAAGGAAACACAGATGATCTGTAAAGTGTCCAGCCCAGTGTGTGACAAAAAAGGTCTCAATCTACTGTGCTGTTTTATAGTGTTTACTATGGGAAGTCACCGTTTCTGATCACTTTCTATGTATTTACTCATCTAATCCTCACAACAACCCCACCAAATACTGTTACTAATACCATTTCAGATATGAAAAAACTGAGGCATGGAGAAATTGAGTAACTTGCCCAAGGCCACAGCAGTAGTCCTTTGCACTACCCTTGCACCATATCACCTACAGAATACATTTCCCAGTAATCTTGGTAACAGTGAATGATTACCATACAAGGCAGCTAAGAGTAGAAAACAGAAAAAGCAGTAGCAAAGCTTGACATGAGGTTAAACTAACCAGTACCTTTAAAGTTACAATCATTTTATTTTATTTTATTTTTTAATATATTTTATTGATTTTTCACAGAGAGGACGGGAGAGAGATAGAGTTAGAAACATCGATGAGAGAGAAACATCGATCAGCTGCCTCCTGCACATCTCCCACTGGGGATGTGCCCGCAACCCAGGTACATGCCCTTGACCGGAATCGAACCCGGGACCTTTCAGTCCGCAGGCCGACGCTCCATCCACTGAGCCAAACCGGTTTTGGCAACAATCATTTTAAATTGGGCTAAAAAAAACAACCGATAGCTAGAACATTACACTATATATTGTACTTCGGAAGTTAAGTGACATTTTAATGCTAAGCATACTAATCCTCAAGTTCTAACACCCATACTAACTCTTAATCCTCAGGTTTAATCTTATTACAACTTTTAAAAATTATTTCACAAATGATAAAGGGCCAGAGAAGTCAGATATGTGCAGTACACAATTAAAAATATTATACATGGAGGCCATATTGACAACCAAGATCTTTTGAATCCCTTTATCTCTTCTCCATAGAATGATCAAGTATCAAAGGGTTAAATTCATTAAAACTCCAATCTTGAACCCCCTTTCCCACCAAGGGTTTTTTTCTCTTCCTCAGGATACAACATAAACTCACCACCGAGAACTTGCCCACTGCAGCACTTTTCCACTTGCTCCAACTTCATATACTTGCCCTCCATAGAATTTCAGGTTCTAAGACTATTATATCTCCCGGAGTACTTATTATTGAAAATATCTCCATATCTGCATAAATCCAAGTTTTAAGATAGGAAATTTCAGAAAAGTATACAATAAATGTCACTATTACTCAGTAGTGGATGGACAATTCCGTGCTTGCAGAACCAAGGCTCTGGAGCCAATACATGGGTTCAAATTCTGACCCCATTTCCACTAGTCATGTAATATTAACTTTGGTCAAGCTGCTCAATTTCTGTACCTCAGTGTTTTCCATATGTAAAAGTGAAATGATGGCCCCACCTCAAAAGGATTTTATAAGCATGAAATAAACACGTGTAAAACACATATTTATGCTAGAGTATCATTATTACTGAGTATTATGTTTCATTAATATAGATAAACCTTCCATGCTGGTAAACTGTTTTAAAAGAATCTAGGGGAATGTGTATAGTTTTCAATCTCATTTCCTCAGAATCATATTTTTGTTTATACTCCTATTCTCAACATTAGTTGTCTGAAAAATCAAGTTATCTTTACAGAAGATGCAAAATCTTTTAAATTTAAATATCCATGTAAAAACGAGTTGTCATTTCAATGGCTCATTAATTAAGAACCAAAATAAGCCTGGCAGATGTGACTCAGTTGGCTGAGCATCTTTCCATGCACCAAAAGGTCACTGATGGATTTTTCTCTCACACATCCATGTTTCTCTCCCCCTCACTCCTCCCCGCTCTCTAAAATCAGTAAAATCATGTTTTTTAAAAAAGGAACCAAAATAATTAACTTTGGGAATTGATTTATAAGAAAAAAATGTATGGTGTTCATTTTACTTCTAGTAAACATCAGTTTGTGCCAAATGTACATGTATGCTTAATGCAGAAATGTAAATTTTTAAATATAACCCAGAACAGCAACATATAAAAAGTTACTACTACTTCTTAAAATAACATACCTCTTAATTAGTAAAACTGCTAATTACAGACCAACCTAAAATGATTATGTCCCAATTTAAGATAAAAATATGATACTAGGTTATGAAATAAAGCCACAGAAAAATGAAGGTCTGGCCTAAATTAAATATTTGTACAATAGTACAAGTGTTTTATAAAATCTACTAATTTTACTTCTCTTTTTGACCTTTCACATTTGATCTACTCTCTGGCATTTTTATCATCACCCAACTCCTCACCCCATCTTTCAAAGGTTGGCCTTTTAATCTCTCCTCTTCTGACTGAGAGATCTTATAATGGCTTTAGTTGTGTCCTGTAAAATGATGGCTCCTAAATTTCTCTTTCTAGATATGCATTAAACAACTATCTATTGCACATCTCAACTTGATTTATCCTGGGCATTTCAAGAACTGAACTTAATCTCCTCAAATGGGTTTCTCCCTTGTGTCCCCTATATCTCAAGAGAATTTCTTCTCAGTACCAATACCCAACTAGTGGGTCTCTGAGTAAATCCCCACAAATGTTACTTTCTTTTCTCAAATCTAGCCCCTTAGCTCACTCAAAATCACTCAGATGTATCTGTTCACAACCATGATTCTTCTAAAACTGCTTAAAATCCAAACTTACAAAAGTATTATGGCTTTCCACAACTTAGCTCCTGCTTTTGCTTTATTTTCCAGAACTTATACCAATCATCTAGCCACCTGAGTCCTGGAATTCCCTGTATCAGGATCACCTAACCATCTTTTAAGCTCAAGATTCAAGCCAAGGTCCTTTACCAAGTTTATCTGAATCACTCTTTCCTTTGCAATAATCCACCATTTCCTCCGTTGGAGAAAATCCACAATACATATTTAGAATGCGCCGAAACCAGTTTGGCTCAGTGGATAGAGCGTCGGTCTGTGGACTGAAAGGTCCCAGGTTCGATTCCGGTCAAGGGCATGTACCTGGGTTGCGGGCATGCCCCCAGTAGGAGATGTGCAGGAGGCAGCTGATCGATGTTTCTCTCTCATTGATGATCGATGTTTCTAACTCTCTATCTCTCTCCCTTCCTCTCTGTGAAAAATCAATAAAATATATTAAAAAAAAAAAAAAGAATGCCTGCTTCTCCCTTACTAGTTTCTAAGCCAAAAATGGAATTATATCATATTTCTAGAATAAATAACAATCTGTTATACATAAATTCTTAAATCAAGAGATGGATCTTTTAAACTGTTCTATACTGTAACAATAAAATATGACTGTCAATTCAAACAACTCAAGCATAAATTTCTCCTCATAGGAGTACATGCTAAGCAAACACGCATAATGTACTCTAAAAATTTAGCATTTTTGGACTCTTGGTCATTAAAGTACCCAAAAAAGAGGCAACTGGGAACTAATTTCTGAAACAATCATACTGTTCATTTTCCAAAAAAAAAAAAATCAACCTACTTCAGAATATACCTCTAGCCTCTAACTTAGCTGATGTGCCATGGAAATTCAGATTTATTCAAATAATACATTCATAAAAGCCAAATGAAAGATACAATTCTGTAAATCCAGTACTATCTTCCTACTTGCTTCAACGAAACAACTAGGTCTGCATAACTAATCTCTGAAACATGACTTCCCTGAGAAGCTATGACAAAAATGAATGCTTCTGTGGTAATAGTTTTGGTGTTTCCTTAAGTCTGTGTCTGTAATGCAGGACAGACCCTTCTCCTCCTTGTCAAATTGCAGAAAATTTCCATCACTAACTAGAGAATCTTTCATGACCACCTCCTCTAGTTTTACTCCTTAGAAAACTACTTCATGTAAAGCATCACAAGGAAACACCAAATTAGTGTATCTAGCACATTCCCGTAATGTGATTTTTTCATCCTCCTTTTACTCCAAATAGCCTCCCTCAAATCCTTAATTACATGTAGAATTCTTCTCCTTGTCTTTCATTGAAACAATTGGCTGTGATAATAGACAGTAAATCTTAATGAGAAGTTTCTACAAGTTTCACTGTCTTATAGACAGATAGCCTATATTGAAGTTCTCTGAATGTGGCTATCAAATCAGGTATAAATTTTAGATACCCTGATCAGCCCATAGGTGATGTCAATAAAGAACAGACAGGACTAAAGGAACCCACATTTTCAGTACTTCAAACCATCTGGGTAATGAACTTTTATTTAAGAGTTCCCACATTATGGTGAAATCTTTTCATAGCAGTGGATATCTGTATGCTTTGAAAATTAATGCAAACCAAATAAAGACAGATGTCTAACACCCACCAAGAAGTACTTCTTGCTCTTTGGGGTATATTCTGGATCCCATTCCTCTTCCTTCGGTCTCTTTTGAAAAGTAGTATTTGAGTTGTTTGGACCAGTATTTGTCCCAGCAAAAACTCCTCTGGCTCTTCCTCTGCCTCTAATTCGAAACTGATTAACATTAACAAAGTTGTTTAGTAATGCAATTAAAGGTATTTAAGTTACATGCAAACTCTTAATTTGACTGCAGTAACAAAAAACATATTTCCTAATTTCCTTCCTAAAACCCAACATAGCCACTAAGGATGGAAAGGATGGCCATTTTATATCATGGGTAAAAAACACTGCCTTCTGAAAGTGAGGTTAAGAAGAAATGCACAAAAACTAAGTGTTCGAATACTACACTTTTCATGGCCTGACCTAGTATTTTTAAATAAAAATAATCAAATTGGTTCTTTTCCCTTTGACTAGCCAAAAGAGTTGTCTAATTCCTTTGAATTATCATAGGAGCCCCAAGTGTTCAACTATACCTATCACCAGTTAAGCAATGCTCTTCTTTTTCTCAATTATCTACTCAATGAACACTAAAATAACCAACTGGAACTCAATCAAGATAGGAATCTGAATCTAAAAATTAAAGAGTCAAAAAGAATATGCACTAAGAAGTTATTAAAATAATAATTAAAATATGAAGGTAATATGTATGCTGTGTAGAATAAAAAGTTATGGTTCCTATGGTTGATACACATATAAACAAGAACTTGAAGAAAACAGGGAAAAATCAAAATGTTTTAATACAAACATATGGATTTTTAAAAATGTCTTTAGGTATCTTTCCAAAACTAAGTGATTTTTTAAAATGGGTCTCAATCCATAAATTTCCTTGACTCTTGGACCTTTAAGTACTATGTATAGTTATTAATTCCAAAGTTAAGAAATGTATCTAGTTTATATAGATGCTTCTCGATCTCAAAATGGCATTTCTTTTAATCAGGCAAAAACATTTATTACTCTGTGTACAAACAAAGTATCATCCCACTCCAGACCCTCCTCCCTTTCCCTAAATGGCATTTCTTAAATGAAGATACTTCAAATACAATTTCATTTTTCAAGACCAATTCTAACTGTAGGAGTAATGACTCACATAACAATGTCGAAGTCATATAATTTAACTTTCCTTATGTACAGTATTCTAAGGTAAAGTCCTATCAAAAATTCAAAGATAATTTTATCACTTACAAAGGTTCCTCGTGGTCGACTAACTCCTGCAAAGCCCGAGTATTCTTTTAGTTCATGGTGAGTTTTAAATTCTTCTTCTCTTTCCTTCTTACTCTCCTTTTCTTCTCTAGAACTGGGAGAAGAAGGTGATGCTGAAGAGGATGAAGATCGAGAATGATCTTGCTCTCTACTTTTATGTTTACTGAAAAATAAAGAAAACAAAAAAAATGTGCTATCTTTAAAAACGATGAAGAACCTGTTGAATCTTATAATAAGAGGGATATTTTTCAAGCCAAAAAACTATCCCCTATTACAATGATTACATAACTAAAGTAATTGGGTGTTAAAGTTTGACAGTCTGTTTCCATTCTCCTTCAATATTTGTTTTACACCACTACTGAAAATCATACTAGTAGTCTGGAAACTTCAAGTATGAGGTTCAGTTCTTCCATATTTTTAACTTTTTGTTTTTGTTGTCATTTTAAGGAAAGAAAAAGAAGAGTAGGAAAAGGCAAGTTTCAAAATGACTGCAGTTTGTATACCATGGTGAGAATAGTTGGTATGGTTTGGGCCATTACTCCGTTATAGAAATAAAAAACACATGACAGTACAATAAAAAACACAAGTAAAATCCACCATTTACCTAATGAATACCAAAAATAAAAAATAAATAAAAACAATTATCTATGATACTTAGTATTCCTATTATTTATTTGACACTATGGTGATCAATATTACATGATTCTAATACAACACCCGAAAAGGTCATACCTGCAATAACTCTTACCACTGCTAACAGTATCCATGGAAACATTACTTTGAAAGACTAATACACATTGCTATTTCATAAAAACTAATCCTTCCTCCCCCCATCTCTCCCATGTTAAACCACTAGATATCAGTTTAAAATTCTTGTACTCTGGGTGTTATGAGTTGAAAAAGTGCGGAATCAAGCATAACGAACCAAAGTTCTTACACAAACTGTTTCTAGAAATGCACTGCATTGAAGTCCAACCTCCTGATGTAGCCTGGATAATAGGACACATTAATTTGTCATTTTTTTTTTTCAGTGTTAGCTTGCTATTCCAAAGTTTTTGTCCTCATCCACCATAAGCCGAGTAAAAGACAAATACATTTTTGCTGTAAAACAAATAATTTTAATTGTTTAAATTTAAATATTCGATTACACAGTCAAAATTGAAAGCAATTAAGCTGACAATTATTAAAGGCTAATTAGAAGCTAAAACCTAATTCAGACAGTTTTAACAATTACCTGTCGTCTTTGTAAGATTTGTATTCCTTGTAATCTTTTGGAGTTTTTTCCTGCTTTCTTGACCCACTGGATTCCCTGGAGCCCTTGGAATCCCCCCGTTCTTTGCTTCTTTCTTTTCTCCGACGATCAATGTCATGCCGAAGATCAGCTGAGTCACACCTTAATTTTTTATCTCCCTATAAAAGATAGATACAAAGTAACTTTCAGGGGAGAAAGAAAAAATATATTTATGTACATATATAGCCAAATTATTGCCAGTTTCTAAAGTGACATTTTAGGATCAGAAAAAAGAAGGGATCATAAACTACTTCCGTACTTAGTTTTTGTTTAAAAAAAAAGTGTAGTTGGTTGTTTTTACTAAGTCATTATGTACACAAGTGCAGTGAGACTGGAAATGTTATTAAAATCTAATTATCTTAAAAATCCTAAATTTTTGTGCAAAACAATCCATAAATTTTTATGCAATAAAATAATTATTTTTCCACTCAGCAATCCTCATTATTATCCCTCATCTTTCCAAATAGCATTTTTTAAGGACTTGAACATTGACAAAGGTTATAATCTATAGTTGTGATGTAGCCATCTGCCTATAAAGTTAAGATATCCTAAAGTAATGGTTCTAATTACTTAAACCTCATTATCATCAAGCTCTTTCCAAAGAAGATGACCAACCCAATAAAAACCACTTAAAGAAAGGATTCTGTAATTTCCATAACATGCAACTAGAATATGATTAATGAAACCAATTCAAGTTAAACAAGGGTAGAAACAAAGCCAGAAAGACATTATTCCCAATCCTGTACTCAGTATCTTGGGCCATATACTGCCCTTTCTCAATTCAGGTATTGCAACGGACATTAGTTTAACTGGGTCACAATTCACCTCCTTCTTGTTCCATTGCTTTTTCAAATACTATATAATTTAGGAAGATGGAAAGAGGAATCTAGGAATGAAGAAAAATTACACATCAGTAAGATGCTAATAATGTGGACATCCTTGCTAGTATTCAACAATTAGTAGTACTGGGAAGTCTAACTATAATATTCATAAGCATTCATAAACCTGAAAATATAAGTATATATCCAAATAATATCAACTACTCACCTATATGCTCCCAGGCTAACCAAGAAAAAAAATCAAATCAAGAGCAAAAACCTTCCTATTCGCCTAGGTATTACCAAGCCCACAAGTACCAAGCTAAAGGACTAAAGGAAAGTGGAAATAGTTTATAAACTCTAAACTATATGTATATTACACATTAACATATATATTATTCATTCAAACAGGAAGATGAAAGATAAAAGGCAATGGCATATCCACTTGTCCATCCATCAGTAATAACTACCTTTTCCTCTCCAGTTCAAAAACCAGTATGAGTAACTAGAGAAGCAAATACTCAGTGTCGGAGCACAAGGATAGACTAAATTGTTGGCGAAACAAAACCGACACTGAATCCAAGGTATTGAAAGTAAAAGCCAAAATTAGTATTCACTTCTCAGAATTGGCTTTTCCAAGATCAATATACTCCATGCAAAGAAACCCTTTTCTTTCTAATCTCTAAATTCCATATCTAGTAAGTCATATTTTAAAAATTTGTACACAACTATTAAAAGCTTCTAGTAATAAAAGTGCCAATGTTTCCATAATAGGCCCATTGTTCAACAACTTTCCAAAACAGATGTATTCTCGTTTTTCTGAATGGAAAACCAATGTCCAAGAAGCTAAATGTTTTCCAAATATCAGACAGTATTTGGTGACAGCCAGAATTTCAACAAAGCAGTACTTCCAAGTCACCTAACCTTTTCATTACAGTTGCTCACTTTCTACTTTTCCCCAGAGTATCATCTGAGGCCCCCCCCACCCCCGCCCGCACGAATGAATTTCATTCTCACAGAGCCCCACCAAGCCAGTTATTCATAGGGGCCTCTCTCAAGTTTAATAACATTCATCCTCCAAAATCCACAAATATTCTAATATGACATATAGTTTTTGTTCCAAACATTCATTTGTAAATCAGTTATTAGGATGATTATTTCTTAGTCCAGATCAAAAATGCTCAGCAGCCGTGGTATTACTTCTGTGAAGAACCTACAGATTTAATTTAGGCATACATATATCAAGGAATATTTATTCCAGCTCATCCATTTCACAACAAAACTTTATAGAAATCCTAATATAATTTGTATCATTGCTTTTAAAATGTCCCTTTGTCTGCCCATTGATTCTTTACCCTTTTCTTGGAAGTAATTTCTTCCTTTCATTAGCATTTTTTAAAACTACTCTTGACTTAGGGAGCATTTGAGATCTTGCTCTCCGCATCTATTAACAGTTTGGCTCAAATAAACTCTTATAAAAATTCGCCAAAAAAAGAAAAATCTACTCTTGGTTTCTTAGATACATGGTATACCGTCAGCTTAATTTCTTCTAGGAAGGGAATATTGTGTGTGCATGTGTGTGTGTGTGTGTGTGTAAACAATTTGCCTAGACAAACTATGCTTAATACAGTATTAACAAAGCTAAACTAACATTAAAAAACTGTCCCTTCAAAACATACCTTTTGAATTTCTTCTTTGAAAACTCTCTCTTCCCCTGCTAATCGGGTATGCTTCCTCAGGGCACTTGGAGAGATGTCAATTCTCCTTAATATAAAATAAAGTCTATTTGTAGTCACATTAACTTAATGGTACAAAAAAACCCTTAGAATTTTTCATTTTTGTGAAGAAAATACTAGAAAGGTATTTCTCTCCCAATCGACTAATTTAGCATAGTAAAATTATTAATTACTGACAATTAAGAAATAAAACTATTTCTATTAAAAATGAATTAAAATGTCTTTTTCAACCAGATTTTTATATATAAATGAAGCCTAATCTTTATCAAACTTTTTTAATCAATAAAGAAAATCTGTTTTAAGTATTATCATTTTAAGTGTCCATCATCATACAATTATAATACAAATACAATTAATATCCTCAATGAAAGCAGAAATAGGATCATTTATTCCTAAGTGTCCCCAATATTTTTAAATATTCAGTGGATCTCTAATTTTATTCTGCACCTCTCCTTGCCTTTTTAAGCTTGTGTCTGTCAGGAGCAACTTCTCAGCAGTCACCAAAAACCACACCTACTATGTAAAAAGTACTAAGTTATATATTTTATAGCCAATAATACTAATTGTCACCACCCTGCAAAATAAACATTGTTATCCTTATTTTATAGATGGAAAAAAAAATTAATGTTCAGAGATTACATAACTTGTTCAACCCAATTCAGTGAAGTGACAGAGCCAGGATTTGAACTTACACTTGCCTGACTTCAATTTCAATGTTCATGCTTATTTCATGAAAAATAATTCTGCCTCTCCACCAAGCATTTTTATTTTACAAACTTATTGGAATTAAATTAAATTCAAGGGTTACTCTAGGCATCCAACCCCCTTCCAAAAAGCAAATGTGCTATTTTAATTCCATACTGGGGAGTAATAAAAGAGTAATTAAATCCTAACAACCAGTTTAAACCAAATAAACTGAAAATTAAGAATAAACAATAAATCACCAACTTTTCAAGACTAGAAATATATTTATTCAAGGCATAAATCAGGAATAAAACCAAAGTTCATTTGTATCATGATGATAACAGTTCCAATATAATCTTGTTTAAACAGTGTTTTCCTATCAAAATAGCATTTTTATATGCCTGTTCAATAGTACACATACCTGTGTATCTCAGGGCTCTTTTGGCGGGTACTATGTTCTTCAGTGGCTTTCTGATAGGAAGTGAACCTCTCATTTAGGGTCATCGCAGGTGATTTGAAGTATTGCTCTGTTGATTTAGGAGAAATACTGCCCAATTAGTTATCTTTAAGAGGGATATTCATTTGTGACAGAAGGGCATGTAGCGAGTGAAAAGAAAATAAAAATATTCAAGAAACCTAGCAGAAAGGAATCAAGTGTTACAAGAGTTCCTCCTACCCTGTCCCTTTTATAACTCTTATACCTCAACAGGAAACTGATACAAAGTTCCTCACAGGTCCCTGTCAATACTACATATAATACAAAAACAATAAATAGATTAAACTGAGAGTCTCTAATTTCATTTCAATAATGCACTATTTCATCAAACAGAACAAAAACAAAATGTGAATATCCTTATACCCTGCCAATTATGAACAAGTTACTTCAAGTAATCATTTGCAGAAAATAAAAATGACATAACTACATTGTTGGTTTTAGTAAACAAAATTATTTCATCGAAAACTATACTGACAGCAAAAATTGGATTTAAGAAAAAACTTAATACTGCTATTTCAATTAGAAAATATTTTTCAATTAACATTCATTAATTACTCCAAAAATCTGGCATCTTGGCAAACCTGACAGCACATTTGATATTAATGCCTTGTCTTTCTTTTAACAATTTTTAAATTAGTGATATCAATACTAATTTTTAAACTAGTTCATGGTATGTTGTAAATGTAAAATACAGAAGATGTGTAAGTCATGAAATGTTACATTACGAAGCAAGCTATCTGCTTAACAGGTCAACATACATCTGTGTCAACTTACCGCCCAGTATCCAGCACATGTCTCATAACCAATTAAAACTTGAAACGGCCACTACAAGGGTAGTGCCTCAATCTTAATTCCATGAAACCCAGGAATTTGAGCTAGCAACTCAGTTTTTATGCCATTTTTGCCAGGAAGACAGAAGATTCAACTTTGCCTGTATCTTTCAACAGCTATTTTACTTTGAAACATGGATTTTGCCATTTCAAAACATATTCCAGGACCTAGTTACAATGAAAAAGAAAACATCACTGGGCATTTTCAGCTCTAGGTTAAGTAAGAGCTGTTTAGATTGGTTGCACAATACCAGTAATAAAACATAACTACAGTTCTTTAAAAAAAAAAAAAAGAAAATGAAAAAGCAAAAAATTTTATCAAAACCTGATCTCAAAATTCAGCAATAAATTGTAAAATGTGGAGACAGGTCAAAAAAATGTGAAAAAAGAAAAATGTTAATGTTTCCTATTTTATGTACCACAGTAATATGGTCATGAACTGTTTCACAAACCCAGTTATAGCCAAATAACAAAAGAATTTTGTTACCATGCTTAAATAATTACAGTAAAAAAAAAGAAATTCATTAATTATTCAGTTTTGAAATATCAAGTGCATAAAGAATTGCTAGTGATAAGTTTAAGCTATCACAATGAGTTGTTCTCATGTCAAGACAAACTTTTTTTAAAAAATGGTTTTTAAGACCAACAGCCATGGTGACTCCTGAATAAGAATCTATTTCATAGCACACTGCCTTTTAAAGACAAAAACAAAACAAAACTTAAACCTAACTGCCCAAAAAGTCATACCCTAAACCTTTGAAACTAATTTTGAAACTAGAATTACATAGTGGGGAAAATAGCACATCAGAACTTCAGTGAAACACATACCTTTATCATCTTTAGTATCTAAAGAAATCTCACCATTATCCTAATTAGTCATTATTCATGTAATCATTACTAATCTACTTTTAAATTTCTTGAACTTGTTTACCTTTTAAAAATCATAATATGGCCCTAGCCAGCTTTGCTCAGTGGTTAGAGTGTTTGGCCCATGGACTGAAGGGCACAGGTTCTATTCTGGTCAAGAGCACGTACCTTGGTTGCAGGCTCCATCCTGGGCCCCAGTCGGAACATGTGTGGAAAGCAACCAATAGATGTCTCTCTCTCACATCAATGTTTCTCTTTCTCTCCCTACCCCTTCCACTCTCTCTAAAAATCAATGGGGGAGAAAAAAAAAACTTCAGGTAAGGATTAAAAAAAATAAAGTAAAAAATCCTAATATGCCCAACTGACATGGTTCAGAAAAGAGATTCCCGGTGAGGGCACATGCCCGGGTTGTGGGCTTGATCCCCAGTAGGGGGGCATGCAGGAGGCAGCTGATCAGTATTTCTCACTAATGTTTCTTTCTATCCCTCCCCCTTCCTCTCTTTCTAAAATCAGTAAAATATCTTTTTTAAAATCCTAATAATTTTTTTCTGGTTTATTTATCATGTAGAAAAGGTAAGTATTATAACAAATTAAGTAATACAAAGAAAAGATAGGATAATCCAGTTTTCCCACAGGATTCAGGTTTTAAAAGTTGAAAAAATTCTTAATATTCAGTAACAATGCTGTTTGACTTTGTTATAAATCCATGCCAAGTACATTATAAGCCATACACATGCAGGTAATGGAAGGTAATCTGTAAGCATACTGCACTTCAAATACAGTATAATGGCACATTTCAAAAAAACTTTCAGCATTAACAAAATCTACATTGTGTTTTACCATGATATACATTTTTAGGGTATGTTTTAGCTCTTAATATTTCAATCGGTTTTTATTAAATATCATCATGCTGGCAAGACTGAAAGCACTCTTCATGAAACACTCCTTTTTCCAAATTTTTAATGCTGTCTGTATTCTTGCTATCCCTAGGCTACATTAATTATTAAGCATTGCTGTTCATTTTCTTCTATTTGCAGGAGAAATTCAATTCACAATACTAAGCATACTAAACATACCTTTAACGTGATGAACCAAGGACACAATGTGCTGAATAAATGACTCTGAAGTGCTCTTGCTGGCCTGAGGCAACTTAATGTGGTCAAAGATGGATCGGAATTCTTGCTCCTTCTTGACAGAATGGACAAGTGTACTAGCAAGTAGCCTGTCTTTAGTCAAGGAAGCAGGTCTGGAACATATCGGTACACACACACACAAACAAAATATACCATTGGTTTGAATATGAAAATGGGAAATGTATTCAGAAAATAAAAAAATTAAATGAAATATTAACCAACCACCCACATTTTAAAAGCCATTATATTTACTGGGCATTAATGTGAAATTACCTGTTAGAATCATCAAGAGGAACAGGGGCCATTTTGAGTTTGACTTCAGGACGATGAGAATCGCTGGCTATCATTTTAATCCTAAGTGGGCTCTCCTCCCTGAAGGTAGACTTTTCTCGTGCATCCAGATTCTTGTGTAGAGGGGGACTGTAATCAAAGAGGTCTTTGAGCTTTTCAGACTTTACCTGCTCAGGTGACTGAGTTTCTTTCTTTACTGTTATTCTCTCAGAATTTTTGTCGTCTTCCTTGTGCTTATCTTTTGTAGTGCTAGGCCTTTCCACTACATATCCAGTCTCTTTAAGTTTATAATTTTTTTCTTCTCTAAATCCATCACTTTCTCTATTGCCTTTCAGTGAAACTTTGGACTTGTACTTGTTTCCTTCCTCCTCAGTATTCCGGTGAGATGTAGTAGCAAAATTTTTACCCTGATCTGCAAGGACTGACTTTCTGAACTGTCTATAATCTTCTGTCTCCTCTGTGTCATCCCCTTCTGAATCATTAAACTTTTGTTTTCCAGACTCTTTATCACTGAAGTAATCTAGGGCTTCCTGATCTTCCCATTCTCCCTCTGCCCTTCCTTTCTCTGATCCTTTCTCCTTTGGAGCCTCTTTATCCCTGGTATTACCCCTATCAAGCAGGAATACTCTAGACTCTTCATCTGTGAACCTGTGAATAAGCAAAGAAGAGGATGGTAACTCTGGATTGCATTCACTGTGGATAACTTGCATACTTAAATGTGCTGCCCAATACCACAGGACCGGTAATGAGAGGGAAAAACCCTACTGAAAGTGTTTTCAGATTCCACTTTTAAAACAGTAAAGGCATCCATATAGCACTTAGGTACTGAGTTTTTAAATCAATTTATGTAGTAGACTTCCTGAATGTTAAAAAGCAGAAGCCATTCTCAAAAACCTATTCTTATTCAGTCACAGCCCACAAATCTGCACTAACATCCAAATTCCCAGAGATCCTATAACATACATCACAGCTTAAGTTTAACTTCTGAGGCTAAGAATCACTAGTCAACTATTTATTTACTTAATAGCATTCTACGTATTTTACACAAAATTTCTGATTATTTCATTTAGCAACACTTGAAATTAGAATTCAAACCGAGTATCTGTTTCAAATATCACTAGTCAGTATCTGTTTCAAATATCACTCACTAGTCATTATCTTTTCTATGGTCAGGCAGATTCATTAAAAATTGGCAGCTGGATTATTTATAATACTACACAAGAACATGAAATAGAATTGCATTATTTATATAGGTCACATTATAATGCTGAAGAGAACAAAATAAGCTTTTAATGCTCTAACATTACAAATTAATCTCTGAAAATTTTGTTTTTACATGTTAACAATTACGCTTTACACTACTCATTTTTCGTTTACATTAATTCTGAACTTACTGAAACTGGATAAAAAAAGGAGGAATATAAATTAGTTCTTATTAAAACACTTAACTTCCAAAGTTAGAGATGTAAGTAAAAACAATCTGGAATTAACTTATAAAGGAATTCATGAGTAAAAATAGCTAAATACATATAGCAGTGCAATTTTAAGTCTTATAAATCCAAAGAGAATTCAAAGAATAAAACTATTAATATTTTCATCTAAATTCTCTGCTTTAGTTCTTACCTTTTTAAGAATTTTCCTGTCTTTGCAGTTTCCTGATCTCCACCATCAGGATAAAATGAAGAACGTCCCCTAGCCTCATCTCTTGGAGCATTCTGTGGTGTGATTGTCTTTGCAGGGCTTCTTCGTGAAGGGATGTGATGAATTGGACTATTCTGAGAAGGACTATATCGACTAGATCCATTTCCAACAGAACCAGACCCAGATCTTTCAGGACTATGCTGAATGGAATGTGAATGCTGAGAGGGGGTGTTTTTTGCAGAGTGGACTGTACTGAGCATGGGCGCATCAGAGCAAGATGAACTCTGACTAGGTGGCGTAGCAATTGGTGAAGGACTATGGGGTGATCTAGGACTATTATCATAAGCTGAAAGGCCAGGCCAAATATCACCAGATGTGGCTGATGATTTATTAAACTCATCAATAGATTCAGATGGGTCATGTTCAAATGTATCTTTCGGTTCCTCCTGTGATTTATTTTTCAAAGGACTCTCTTCTTGGGGCTCCCCTTCAGATTTTTTGGTTTGTTTTTCCTGAGACCCTCGTCTTTTAGAGACAGGAGATTTGCTATATGGGGATGAAGAACGAGAAGAGGATGATCTTGGAGACCTAGAGGATCTGTATGACCGGCGAGATCTGCTTCGGGATCTTTGAGAAGAAACTGATCTTCTTTTTGGACTTCTGGAACGTGAACGACCTCGTCTAGGACTCCTAGAGTGTCTTCTGTTCCAGACAGGTCTATAGCCACCTCGATGATATCTACCTCCTCCACCTTGATAATACCCTCTACCCCTTCCTCTGTACCCATAAGGTCGTCTCATTCCTCTATTATTTCTGTAATCTCGCCGATAATCTCTAGAATAAATACGATCTCTACTACGAGATCTTGAATACGTCCTGGAACGAGACCTAGAACTAAAAATGAAATAAATATCAATGCAATAAAAATAAACTATTCCATCCTACCATTCTAAATAGTCCAAGTTGAATATAGCATGCAAATCAATTGTCAAAACTAAAAATGTACATTAAAAAACAACGCATGTACACAAAAGTAAAAGTTTACTGTTTTTAATGAAAAGCGTCTCATTTCTAAGGTAAATATTGAGAGACTAAATTAAAGACCTTAGAAATGAAGGCACAGAAAATGGGAAAAAGACATATTCAACAGAACATACTAACAAATTATAGTACATTTATTCAAGCACTTAAAGAAATAGTGTAAAAGAATTTTTAACAGCACAGAAAAATATTCATCAATGAAATACCATTGGCCAAATGCATACATAATATGAAGTTAGGCTTAGAAAAATAATACAAAAAAATCATAAAGTAGTATTAATTCTTAATGAGATTATGGTCACTTTTATTTTCAACATATGGTTTCCATTTTCTATGCTAACTATGTATTACTATTTAAAGAAAGATAACTGAAGTTAATCATTTTTAACAAAAGAATAAACTTATGGGTGCCTTGAGTCAGAAATAGTAAGCAACTATGAAATCATATATAGATTTACTGCCAAATAATTGTTTGTTACTTTATCTAATTCATCTCAACATATAGATAAAAACAAGAAATCACCATAGAGTGCACAGCACAGTAAGAATCTGAGATATAGCGTTAGACTAGCTGGATTCTAATCTAAGCTCTGCCAGTTATTAGCTTACAATTTGGACAATTTTCAACTTCTCTAACTGTAAAATGAGGGTAACAACAGATCAATTTGACAAGATTCTTTGAGAATATTTTAATGAATTTAGCACTATTGTATATAGTAAACACTCCATAAGTATTAGATATCACTATCATTATTAAAAGACTTAAAAAGGACAGTAATTCACCTGTATCTCTTCTTTCTAGAGTGTGACCTTGATCTTGATCGAGAACTAGACTGTGATCTAGACTTTGATCTTGAAGAATGTGATCTAGAATTGGAGCGACCCATTTCTTTACTCCTAGTAAAATGAGAGACCAAAATAGGTTAAAAATCACAATATAATAGAAGTTTCACATCATTTAACTTATTTTTTACAAATTGAATTTTATAAGGAGAAACATATCATTTTCAAATGAGTACTAAGCCAATCAATTATTCCTAACTAAAAACTGTATTTTCACTTGCATGAAAGGTATCCTATCCTATATAATAAAACCCTAATATGCAAATCGACCAAATGGCGGATCGACCAGTGGAACGACTAGTCACTACGATGCACACTGACCATTGGGGGGCAGACACTCAACGCAGGAGGCAATGGGGGGGGGGCGGGGGGCTGGCCGCCACCCGCCTGTCGCTGGTCACCCCACAGATCGGCCCTGATCGCTGGCCAGGCTTAGGGACCCTACCCTACATACTGGGAACAGTCTCTTAGATTTAAAAATTAAAACTAGCAAGGCTACTCTAACACTGTGTGACAAAGCCAATTACTTAATTTCTCTCTGCTTCAGTTTTTCCACCCATAAGATGGAGAAAATGGTATTACTGCCTCAGAAGGATCATGTTATGTACTACTTTTTACAATGTGGGCAAAAAAATATAGCTGCCCATACAACAGCAAGATGCCTTTCACCCGTATGAAAAGTATGGTCACTGGTACATGCAGCATCCTGGGTTGCGAGAGGGATGTCCAACTGCCGGTTTAGGCCCGATCCCTGTGGTCGGACATCCCCCAAGGGCACAGGCTGAGGGACCCCCCCCCCGCCCCTCCCGGCACAAATTTCGTGCACCAGGCCTCTAATTGTATATACTGAAGACACAACAGAAAATTTCTATGGACTGCCCCACCTATGTGCCTCAATCCAAAAAGGTAGAAGTCAGAAACAGCAGTAATACCAGACTGCAGCAGTATGTTAGATGTTATTCCATGCCCAATACAAATGTCTACCTCTCCCATAAAAAAGATAGTATCAGAGTATTACAGATAAGAAATCTGAGACACCTAACAGGTTTGGCTCTGTGGATAGAGTGTTGGCCTATGGACTTAAGGGTCCCAGGTTCAATTCCGGTTAAGGGCTTGTACCTTGGTTGTGGGCACATCCCCAGTAGGTGTGCAGGAGGCAGCTGATCGATGTTTCTCTCTCATCGATGTTTCTAACTCTCTATCCCTCTCCCTTCCTCTCTGTAAAAAAAATCAATAAAATATACTTAAAAAAAAGAAATCTGAGACAAAGAAAATACAAGTAGCATAATACTGAAGAAAAATAAACCTACCGGACTGTCATCACAATGCTTTATGGCCCTGAAATGGGATTAAACTGACCACTTCATGTACACAATACTGACTGGAATGGTGGATAGTCTCCTAGTAGAAAAAAATCTCTGGAGTCATGACTCTACTCTCATAATAAAAATGAATTTATATGACAAATGCCTAGAGTACCTGTAGCTTTCTGGTAAGAAGATGAAAAAGAACAAAAGATAAAGAAACTGGAAGAATGCTCCAAGAAAGAGATTGGAGCTACAAGAAAAAGAGAACTGGATACCAGTATTCTAACTTTTCCAAACACTATTTAGTATCTAATGTAATTAGTATCTAATTAGACCTCAGAAATCAGTAACACTACTAATTAATGTTTAAGATCTACTCTTCACAAAATTTTATTTACGTCTATATCTCCCGTTTACCTATGCTATACTTTCTAAATTTCCACTAAATTACTCAAAATTAGTAATTTCTATAAGTGACTCACTAAACTAATAACCTGCAATTGCCATGTATTTAAACCATTTATCCTACCACCAAATATTTTTAAGGCATTTATTTTACCTACCTTGCCTTTGCTCAGTATTATGAAATAGTATTTAAAAGTTGAATTATGTCTGCATACTTCCTCATGAGGAAACATAAATGACAAATTCAAGGTTTCCGATAAATATTTATTTCAAAATAAAAGGTAACTATCCTTATATACACAAATATCAGCTTTGTCTTCTCACTCTTTATTCTAAGTAAGAAAGAAATACATAAAAACAGTATGCTCTTCAGAATTGTAGTGAGGACATGTAACACACTTAAAAGATTAGGCATGCCCTAGCTGGTTTGGCTCAGTGGATACAGCATCAATCTGCGGACTGGAGGGTCCCGGGTTTGATTCCGATCAAGGGCACATGTCTGATTGCGGGCTCAATCCCCAGTAGGGGCGTGCAGGAGGCAGCCAATCCAGGAGTCTCTCTCATCATGGATGTTTCTCTCTCTCTCTCTCTCTCTCTATCCCTTCCTCTCTCTCTGAAATCAATAAAAATATATTTTTAAAAAAAAGATTAGGCACACAGTAAGCAATCAACTTTCATTACATTAGCACCAATGTAAAAGGGAAAAAACTAAATTATGGAACTCTCTTGTATGTGTAAGGGAAGATCAATTAGACAAGATTATTTTGTCTTGCTTTACTTTTAAATAGCTTTGTGTGTTCTGAGTTTTTAAGTAGATGTGTTTATAGAAATAGAAGCAGACACACAACTTATAAGCAGGAGAGATAAAAAGAATCTTTATCCTAAAACTAACTTTTAAATCTGGCTTACTCCATACAAGCCACCAAAACAAACAAAAAAAAGAGCTTCAGACCACATCACTTTTAATCATTCAGTCTGAATCATGAGTGTAGCAGTCACGTTTTCTCAAGCTAAACTGAAAACTAGAAAAATGAATGTTATATACCTTGGGTTTTATGCAGGATAGAGCAATCAAGTGAAGTCTTCGAGATACTGTAAAATTCTTCCTGGAGAATATGTTCTCAGATAGTAAACTCTAAATTCAAATTCCTGGCAAAAAATAAAAAATATGAGTTTGATTTATGGTAAATTCAATACACACAGTTTATACTCAGCACTACAATACGTACTCTTAATAAAGGCACTAATGATTTCAGGGAAGGGGAAACAGACTTAGAAAATAAAAGTTTTAACCATAAAAGCTTAAAGAACTTTTTTGTTTTAATCAGAATGCAACAGTATATCATTAAACTGAGAGCACCTTCACTTTTTAATTTAAATACTTCAATTCTAATTTCAGCAATATGGGCTTTACAAAACATAAGCTATGCTGTCATCTTACCAGGAAATTCCAAAGAAGCTAACATAATGCCATCTTGACATATATATGTAGTTAGTATTCTTAATGCCATAGTTTGTAAACTTATCTAAAATGAGTTTATTTTAATGCTCTACTAACTTATTCTCCCTTGGCCAATTCCTTTTATACAGTTTAGTTTCACCTGAAACTGATTTTTTATAATTCATATGACAACCATCACAGTAACTCTAACACGTGGGCCTAAAAGCATTTTGATAAAAGTATATAGCAAACATTCCAATAAAGAAACAGGCAGGAAATTAAACAAATATCTAGTGGAAGCCAATATTCTTCCTAAACTAATTTACTACTAATATTCAAATAAATTTAAATATTGCACAAAGTATTTAGCAGTTATCAATACTGAAAAGGTTTGCCTTGTAATATTCAGGGATTGTCAAATACGAGCAAAGGATAGTCAAAAAACACTAGGGGAGCAAAAGACACACTAAGGAATACAGGACAGATGCATGCCTACACTGAAGGAATTCATAAACCAGCTTAAATAAACACACACACACACATTAACCTGAAAATCTGTGAACCTTACCAAGTAATGGATTCAATTTTAAAAATGCAATAAAATTAGAAATACAAAGCAGAAAAAATGGTAAGATTAAACTGGTAAACCAAGAACAATGTTCCCTCAATACCCATGCCCCTAATGTCAGGGGAGATTAAGAGAGTTGAGGATCAAGCTAGGAAGGAGGAATAGGAATCTAGTGATTGAGGGAAACATACTAAAGTAAAAAGTAGCAAAAAATAAAAATAAAAGGCCAGAACCAGAAACAAAGGATTTCTAAAGTGCATGCATACTTATAGTTTTAAAAATATTAACTCCCTCAAGTGGGCAGAGAAAAACTAATCTTCTAAATTGGTGTTATGAAACTTTATTCTGACCTAGAAGTCCAATACTACTGAGATTTACTACTGGAAGTGATACAAAGTGCGTTTTACTTAACAAATCTAAAAGGCTAATTTTAATTTCTATATATCCAGACAAGAACCAACTGCCAAATCTCTACTGTCATGATTTTTGAAGTTCTAAGAAAATATATATTAGAAATAGTAACATGAAGGGGAGAGGGGCTGTAAGCTGTCAAGACTAGTATACATATATATATTATTGTGCACAATCTATAAATATATTCAAGTATCCATATGAAGAATTCAATTATCATATTTAAAATATGGCATACAATATATTTTATAATATTTAACATAAAATGTAAGTATTTAACATTTTACATTAATCACATCTAACAAAGTCAGAACAAAGACTATAATCAACTCAGCTAATTTTTTAAAATGCAAATCTATGTACAAAGCACTGTGCTACATATTATGGATATGTGGCTATGTAAGAGATCCCTGCCCTCCAAAAACCAACTATCGAGGAAAAGAAATAAACAAATCATAGCAAACTAAATATCTAAAAACCAACCATGTTCCAAGAACTGTGCTTACTTTTAAATCACCTCATTTAATCTTCATACTCTCATGAGCTACACATAACTCCATCTTTCAAATGAAGAGAACTCCAAGCTTTCAGAATTTCTCTGAATTTATAAGGTGCCTATGCCATGCACTATTATTCTAGGGTTAGAAATAGAACACTTTAAGTGAGACATGTTGGACCTTTTGATTCCCTATCCACTTCTTTGTTAATCACTGTAAATTACACAGAATTCACTAGTGTTAAACAAATAATTTTGAATGATGTTTCTGTAAACTCCCAATTCAAAGCTCTAAGGAGAACTGAAAAGCTTTCTTATTTCTACAAGTCTTCTCCTCAGACATCAAGTACAACTAGCTATCCACATAAGTCAGTCAATAAATTAAACTAGAATTGAGCCTATCAATTGATAAGTTTTTACAATTCTGTCTCCCAAGTCCTAAAATACTATTCGGCCACATGAAGAATCAGCTCTAGTTAAATCTCCTTTGCCACCATTTTAATTATCTTAAGGGGAATTTCAGGGTTTACCATATCTAACACGGAACACGTGGTATCCTTAAAACAAGAGGCTATAAGCCATCGGTAAACAGACTTTAAACTGGTTCACTATGAGTTATTTTACACACAGAACCCTTCCCATCAAATTATTTATCCTCAATTGGCTAGGATTACATAAAAACGCAAATAAATTTGTAGCGGTTTTTCCTATGGAAAGGTTCTTATCTAAACAGCAGCGCAACCATTCCAAGTAGACTCCAACTGGAAAGAGAATTCACATGAGGAATAATTCCCCACAAAATTGAAAAGGCGCTGCTGCAAGATGTCTGAGATAGCTAATCTCTTAAATCAGTTTCGGTCATATTTACTTTCAACTTTGGTCTTAATTTTCTTCAATTCTAAAACGCTTAAAAAAAAAAAAGTCTGATGTATAAAAAAGTAGTTGCCAGTACTGCTGCTTGGTTCTGATGAGATAAATCTTAAAAGTAAATAAAGCCAACTTACGGACTTTCATTTAAACGAGGGCAAAGTCACTAGCCTCAACTCACCACTCCCACCCACTCACCCTCCAACTACCAGTCATGGCTGCACCATTTCTGACACGATGTAATGGGCTGAATCATTTGCTGAAAGGACACGGCTCCACTGGTACCGCTGGACAACTAACTGCCCTTTCAGCCCGGAAGTCGCAGGGCCGCGCTGAGATTGCTCGGCTCAGGCCCGCTCCCCACGCCAGGAGCCAGTAACTAGGCACCAACTCCTAGAGTCAACAGCGCCCGGTTCCTCCAAAACAGAGTGGGTTGCCAAGGGGATCCGAGAAGATTAACCAGAGAGAATTTTCCCGAAACACCAAGGGCCCGAGGTGGATGCGGGATTCGGTTACGAGAGACAGAACAGCATCCTACACATAGTAAAATAACAAAAATGAGGCGTAAGCCGACGGGTAGCGTGAAGCCGAGGAAAAGGAGTTTAAAGACGATGCGGGGTGCCTACTACCCAGTGCACTTTGCTGCAGATCGTAATTACTTTACCAAAATCCTAAAGGCCCAGAAGAAAGGTGGCGTTCCCAGCCAATGAGGAGAACCCAAGTAGCACCGCTCGCGGCCTCAGGAGCCAGAAGGCGGGGAACTGAGGGAGGAACCGCGCGTGCGCCGGCCCAGCGTTCAGCCGGGCGCGCGCCGGGGTCCAGGCCGAAGAAATGGGGGAAGGTTGAGGAGGAGGATATGCGCACGCGCACGGAAGGCCCGCGCGGTCTCGGGCTCTCGACCAGGTTTTTAGTCAGGCGCGCGCGCACTGTTCTCGCTGCTAATCACCCCCCCCCCCCCCACCTTTTGGCTCGTAGCACCTCGAAAACCTGAGGGAATCTGACGGGGAAACACATAAATAACGGCACAACGTCTCCTGGGTTTTGCTGTCGCCGCCAACCCGCCACCACCCACAAAAGACTCGGCACTCACTACCCTTGAGTGAATTCGCTACCCTGAATGCAGCATGAGGCCTACCTGACAGGCCGAAGCAAGGTTCCCGGGACTTATCTTCGTTGTAACTACACAGCGGCCATTTCCCGACTGAAGAACGGGAGGAAAACCATAGAGCTATCTTCGACGCGCTAGCTCGCCTCCGTCACTTCCGATTTGGGGCGTGGCCTCTGGTGCCGCTAAATAGCTGAGCAAGCCCCGCCCACCCTTTCGCCTTAAACCGGCTCCCAGGCCGCTGTTAAGACGTTGCCTGAGGCTTTCTGGGAAGTCTCGTGGCTGATCTCGCGCGAATTCCGGCGGCCCCGCCCTCGGGCCCTGAGCGGCCGCCTCAGCGCGGATGGGGGTAGATAGTGGGCGGAGTGATCTGCCAGGGCCGTGAGGTCGCCTCGACCCACGGTGGGGTTAGCGGGCATCTCTCCTCGCTTCGAGGGGACCCTCGGAACCTATCTTTCGCCCCCATTTTTTGCCGTCTGATGCATTCCTTCTCAGACCAAGCCAGAAACAAAGACACAATCCCACACCGAGGAAAAGACGGGAGACGAGGCCGCTCGGCTAGCGCACGTCGTCTCCCTACGCCAGAAAGCGCCGGGTTTCTCCTCGGGCGCCTGACTGTAAACTAGGAAGTGTCGCTCTCGCTCTGATAGACTAGGTGCCAAGCGCACTTCGATAGGAAAATGGCCACGCTCCGAGTCTCTTCCCTGAGTAGCGTGTGACCAACTCGGCTGCCCCTCACGGAGCTCGGCCGCAGGACTCGCGAGGGGCGCGGGCTGTCGGGCGGGTTTCCTCACAGTTTGCTTCTTTCCTCACAACGTGGTGCGGCTTCACCGCCGCGGCAGCTCGGCCGTCGGCATAAAAATAGAGCACGGAGCGTAAGGATCCCGTGTGCCGGCCGGAAAACAGCCCCACATAGCTGGGTCCGCCAGAAATAGGAGGTTATCAATAGGCCAGCCACGTTTGAGTCGGATAGGACGTGAACGAAGAGCCACCGCACATTTCCTATCAATGCCCCTGGGAGCCGCACTGCCCTCCTCAGGGCCTGTAACCGCGACAGCTCCGACGTCTGGGGGCGTAAACGACTTCCAAGCTGCCATCAGCAACCCGTCTTCCGTCAGTTACATCCGCCGTCTTGGCCCCAGTTGCGAGTTTAACACTGTGCTTAAGGCCCCCTCCCCTCACAGTCCAGTTCACCAGTTCAACCATTGAAAGTATTTATTAATAATTATGAATTCTCGGTTTTCCCTACATGCACAGGCCGGCCCCCCCCCCCCCCCCCCGGACTGGGGGCAGTATCGTCGGCTGTGTGGTGCCCTGGGAAGTCCCGAGCATCGAGTAGGTGCTCAGCAAACCCTGAATGGGTGAACTATATGAAAACCAATAAAAGCTAATCATTGGCGGCTCAGTACAACTCCTCTATTCTGCATGCATTTGGGCGAGGGGTAGGGTTAGGGGGCAGGGGCCTTTAGTGCCAACAGCACTGACCCGCTGTTTCCCCAAAAACACCAAAATCGGAGCGTAGTGATTTGCAGCCTAGGCCGTTATGTTAAAAAACCTTTTCTGCAATTCCATGGCCGTACACACTGAAAATAAAGTCACCTTTCCGAGGCAGGTTAACTGTGATGTGAAATAACCCGAGGTAGTAACAAAGAAGGAGACACATCGGAACAAATTTCTCTTGAACTAAGTCCATTTGATACACGATACTTGATTCTACCTACTTCTTGGTAATAAAACTTTTGTTTCCTGTTGAAAATACAAATAATGTCAAAAAGAACATTGAGTAAAAATTGAGCCCATTTAACAAAACAGAAAATCATCCCAAGAAGTATAAATTGTAAATAAATGACCAACATTACTAGTAAGATAAGTACATACAAATGGAATATTGAAATCATATTTTACATTTAATTACTAAATCAAATTTTAATATATAGGTCATTGGTAAATTTACTGTAAATATGTCTATAAAACTATTTTCTTAGAAGTATTTGCTTTGTTTCATAATTGAACAAACCAGGAAGGGCCTGGCCAGGTAGCTCAGTTAGGGCATTGTCTCCAGATATACTCCAGTCACAGGTTCCAACCCTCCTCAGAGCACATACAAGAATCAACCAATGAATGCATCAATAAGTGGGACAACACATCGATGTTTCATTCTTTCCCTTCCTCTCTCTCTCAAATCAATAAATTTTTTAAGTATAATTTTATTGATTTCAGAGAGGAAGGGAGAGGGAGAGAAAGAAACATCAATGATGAGAGAGAATCATTGATTGGCTGCCTCCTGCACACCCCCAACTGGAGATGGAACCTGCAACCTGGGAATGTGCCCTTGATCGAAATTGAACCCAGGACCTTTCGGTCCGCAGATGGACGCTCTATCCACTGAGCCAAACCAGGTAGGGCTCAATAAATTTTTTAAAAAGAGAGAGAGAAAGAACCAGGAGACTGGAAAGGACAAAGACAAGATAGAAATGAGGGAGGAAAAAAGGAGACATATGTTATACTTTCAACAATAAAGACTTTTTAAAAAAGGAAAGAAAATGGAGTTGGAAGGCTAGATCATCAAGGCAAACTCTCATTCTACTGGTTTTGTTTGTTTTGTTTTGTTTGTCTTTTTAGGTTGAACTATGTCAACTGCTTTCCTATTTGGGGAAGTTGAAGTGGAGCGGGGATTTGGAGTCTCCCTGTTCCCACTCCCTGAGAATGGCGACATTGGGAACCCAACAATAGTAGACAAACAGGAAACTGAGGAGATGGAGCCAACAGAGGTTTCCAAACTAGACAGTTGTAGGGAGGGAGTTGGCTATAATTACTGTGGCCTCCTCTGTTCCTATCCCTCCCTAGACTTTGCAATGATTCCTTTTTTTATTTTTTGTAAGTCTGGTAAAATATGCATTGACACTTTCAGCTAGCTGATAACTTTCAGTAAATGCCTTTTCTGGATGAGTTAACCAGAGTTTGTTTCTGTTGCTCCCAACCAAGAACTGAGTAAAGGTAGTTTCTGTTTATGAGGACATTTCCCAAATGGTCTGGCATTTTTCCATATCTGCACCAATGAAACCAATGGTTCCCTCGACTAACCTATTTCATTTCCTACTGGTGAACACAAGTTGACTGGATTTCCTCCCCCATCTTTCTATTCTCTTTTGCCTGCTAAGAAGGCAGAGGGTTTTGTGTTTATTTTTTTCAAGGTTTAAAATTACAAAAAATTATTTATTCAATAATTATTTATTACAGTATTATTCCCTAATAGTCATCTCTCCATTTTGAAAAATAATTAATAAATCAAAATGTTACTGTTAACTGTTGTTTCTAAATCTCACCGAGATTAATGTGCATCATTTTCATGAAGATTATTGCAACAAAAGGAACATGCAATACTTACAAAGTTTTCATAAGAAGTCTTTGACTAAAAATTATGCCAGCTTGCTATTTAATGTAACTACTAAAGGACCTAAAATGAGGTAATGGGATTATGATTAGAATTGTCATCAAAAATATTTTTTTATTTAAGAGAGGTTATAAGAGGAACAGAATGCCTCCTTCCTTTAAAGCAGTTACCCGTTGCAGACATATCTCTGTCTGCTCCCCAGAAAGTCTAAATGCTCAGTTCTCATTACACAAATAATTTATTTCACAAGCAGAGGGCTAAAAACCACATAGGCAAAGGGCTAAAATAAAATATTATCCAAACAAAAGTGGTGAAATAATACATTGTGGGGAGAAAAGGGAGGCAATAACCCTTTGCTCTCCAGATTTCTTGGGGTAATGAAATTTCAGCCTCATTGCTTATTTTGAACTAAAATTAAGCCTGGTATAGAGAAGTGGTCAACATTGGTGTTGACAAACCCTAGTACTGGTATTTCTCGAAATGTGATACATAAAATCCACCTCCTGATTATAACGTGGGTTGCTTATTTGAAAAATAAATCACTCTACGCACTTAGTCTCATGTGGGTGTAGGCAGACCCATGAAAGTTTGAGAACCAGTCGTTTATTGAGTACCTATAACACTCCAGATATTATGGGGCTACAAAGCAGAATAAGATATTTTTGCTGCCTCTGTGTTGGAACTCAAAATTTAGCAGAGATAGGGTGTAACTCCCATAACCAAGAGAACAAAGAGACTTCATAGGAATGCGTGCCAAGGGTGAAAGAGGAAAGGCCTGCCTTTTAAAGAAGTAGTGGAGTTTCACTACTTATTCATTCAGTCAGTCATTCAACAAGTACACATGAAGTGTGTGCAATGTACAGGTACTGAGCTAGGTGCTTGGAATGGGGCAGTGATAAAGGCTAACACTGGCACTGCTCTCACGGAGGCTGCCGCTGTAGGGAGGGAAACAGAACACACGTAAACAGACATAATACAAATCTGACGCTGATAAGGAAGTGATGGAGAATAACAAAGGAAAACTTACTTTAGAAAGGATGCATCATCAGGGAAAGTACCTGTGAGACAAGATTTAGGGGGAAATCTAAAAGATAAGGAGAAGGGAAAATAGCAGGAAGAATATTCCAGGTAGAGAGACTGACCTGTGGGAAATCCCTGGAGCAGAAAAGACCTCCTTATGCTTCTGGAACAGAAAAGATAGTAGTGAACGTTGTCAATCATTTTTAACCAAGAACTATAAGGCAAACAAAAACTTTATTTGGGGATATTTTTAGGAATTGCATATCCAGGGGACAGATTTGGGTAGAAACCTATATTTTGATGGGGAAAGATAGGGATAGTTTAAATAGATGATAAAAGGGTGGCATCCAAAGTTATTACACAAATTGCTTTGAAAGAACTGTGATTGGTGCTGGCAAGCAGACTTACACTATGCTATACATGAGTAATTGCTTATGTCTATTGCTAGGTGAAAATTTTATTTTTTAATAGAGTTCAGTGATGCAGAGTTAGTTTTAGAAACTGTATCAGGATGTGGCCATTTGGTTTATAGCCCCATTCAAACGTTCGGTTTCACGTGGAGGGAGTGTATTAGCTGAACTTCCTGAAGGCCTCCCAGCTCCATTTAAGATTAACAATACCAACTCCATTTTGCTGTTCTTCTTTCACATTCCCCCCTTTGGGCAAGATCTTTTCTTAGAAAGCATCAATGATCAATCATTAGGAAGTATCATTGGTTCATCATTGAAAAAGCAAGATTGATGCCTCATCACCAGGA